AATCGGTAGCGAACTGTACCTGAATCTCTGTGATAACCCTGAAGCCGTGGAGAGTCATCCAACCCCACACATTCACCCTCACTCGGCCGCTCCGTAGTTCTTTATAGATTATTATGCCGATCATATCTTCGTAAAATAATGTAGATTTTGCCATGTCAAATTATGAGTTGCTATTTCTGCATGATATGCGGGATTTCATAGAGTAATTTGATATACAGTATACTAAAATTAACCACGTTACAAGTTGTAAACAACATTATGGGTTGTGGTGTTTCGGCGCCACACATGGATACGGCCTTGGTTGTTGGACGAAAATGTTTTTTTTGTCGGTGAACACTACTCTTGACCCATACTCCTCTTCCTTAACGACATACTTTTGAGCGAAGGCGAGCCTCGAGGCACGGTGGGCGTCTATCTATCTCTCTGGTCAACGTTCATTAGTGGAATATCTGGTGTAAGTGAGCAGTGGCCTGTTTCGAAGCTCCAACATCATATTATACATTCCACCATGTTCATGACTAACACAAATGCATGGATAAGTTTTTAGAAACAGTAAGAAAATATATATTTTTAAAATTTAATTATCCACTTTTTTTTTTATTGGGCACCCCCCCACATCCTTGTGCAGGTGGGAAGTGAAGTTGCTTACAGCCCAACAGGAAGTATGCTAAGGTTGCTTGACAGTTCATGAGTTAAGGAAGATTGAAGAGCCTGGCGGGGCGAAATTTCGAAGAGTCACTTTCCTGGTTTATAGATTCATGTTATTGAAGTCTAAACAACTTGTCCTCAACATGAATTCGCAACTTGACTATGCAGGCACCATCATTGCCAGGGGTGAATAAATCATGGATTAGGTAGTTATATCCGTACCACTCGTCCATGCTAATGTGTCTGGGGGGGTGGAAGAACCCTGACCTCGGCTGACCACTGATTAATTGCCCAGTTTGTGTGTTTCTGGAGGTGGGGTGAGGGAGGGATGCACCCAGCGAAGTTGCTGGTTAGGAATTTTGAGGCCGCCAGAATTAACCAACCGACCGCCCAAAAGGCTAATAAGCTGACCAGGGACGAAGAGGATAAAGCAAATTAAAGCAGAAAAATGCAATAACATGTGACAAAGCAGTAAATTATTAACTACCTCTGAAAACATAATACTATCTAGGCCAACACAACATCAACATCACTCTAGCTGGTGAATGCTCAAGCACCTTTCTACCGACATGACAAATATCACGTACAATGAATGACATGTCATCCAATAACCCCTCATTTATGTTAAAGCTAGTTATAACAACACGATCTATTGCTTGAATTAATTTAATAATAATTATGTTTGCCCGATAATATCAACTTGAAGGTAATAGTTGCAGAAGTGGTAAATAATTGTATTATATAATCTACATAATAAAGCTGTCGGTGAAAAAAGATCTTACTACTAAAAACTAAAGTTATTAGGTGAGGAGCCGAGTTACAGTCGGCCAAGCTTCCACTGAATACCGGGATATGAAGAAATGTGGCGCAAATGTGTGTGTTCTGACCTGTGGTGTAATGGTCAGCATGCTCACCTCGCAAGCTATCGGACCCGGGTTCGATCCCGGGGCAGGGTGAAACCATGGGCAAGTTTCTTTACGCCAGCAGAAATTTGGGAACCTGGGTGTTAATTGATTTGCGGATCGTGTTCCGGCGTAATGGTTAGCCAGTGTAGTTAGCAAGTTGTCCAGTCTTCTCAGACTATTCCTAGACACAACAGCGGCAATTATAATTTTATAAGCTTATTAACTCTGACTCAAAGGCTCGTACGCTCATACGTTCACACACACACACACACACACACACACACACACACACCCTCGCTGATGCCACATTTCTCATATCCTGCTACTCGGTGTTAAATATGGAAGCTTGGCCGACTGCACGTATAGGCGATGTGGGTGTGAGGTCGTGGCTAGCACTAACCTTCCAGGTCTCATACACACAGAAGGTCCCAGTGATCAGGGAGAGCACCACCACACCCAGGCAAGTTATAAAGTAGCCTTGGGCGAACCATATCGCCGCACACAACAGTTGAAACAGGTAGAATGGGATTATGGCCTGTAAGTGTAATGTGGTGGGTTAGATTGAGTGTCCATCAGTGGGGTAAACTGTTGTATGCAATATGGTCCTGCGAACGACACTTTGATTGGTTGTCGAGTTCAATATTGTAGGATAAACAGTGTTGTCTCTACTTTAACCATAAGCTTGTTATTTATGATTATGAATAACCAGATAATGTTCTACACTCTATAACGTCTAGAATTAAAATATGGTTTTGCTCGAAAGATTTTCATGAGAGAACGAGTTCATGCTGCACGTTTCGAGGACTTGTGTCTTGATGCGTATACCAATTACTGTTCTGTGAGTTTAATATAAAAGCTAAATATAATGATTATAAATGACAAAATTATCTTAATTATTCTTCATACTGACAAATAGAAACTATTCACCCGCGCGAATATTTTTCTAGTGCCCCATTGGTAGCAATATCATCCAATCAAACACCGTCGCTATATCAGTTGCATATGTAGTAACGGGTACCACTTCATCTGTGGGTACTCTGTCAGAGGCACAGAGTGAAGCAATAGTTCTGATAGAAGACACACACACACATATATATATATATATATATATATATATATATATATATATATATATATATATATATATATATATACATACATACATACATACATACATACATACATACACACACAGGTTGACAACCCTTTATCCGAAATTCCGAAAACCGAAAAGCTCTGAAAACCGAAAGTTTTTTTTGTGGGGCCAATATTTTTTTTTTTTTTTTTATACAGGGTTTAGCCCACCCGGGCACAGATCACTGACCCACATCAGGGCCTGGGGGGCGAAAATGTGATAGTAATAATAATTATGATAATAATAATTATTCATAGTAAATGAAAATTTTAATAAAAATACACCAAAATAAAATAATAATGATAACAAAAATAATAATAATAATAATAATAAAATATAATAATAAAATTAATAATAATAACAATAATACTATAATAATAAAATAATAATAATAATAATAATAATAATAATAATAATAATAATAATAAAGAAATACAAGAATGAAAAAAAAGATCAAAAGTGAGAAACACGACTTGACCTATGAATTATTATTATGATTATAATTTTATTATATTTTCGCCCCCCAGGCCCTGATGTGGGTCAGTGATCTATGCCGGGTGAAATAATACACATTAAAAAAAAAAAAAAAACTAACCATTCTGAAAACCGAAAAAATTCCGAAATCCGAAATACCCCTGGCCCCAAGGATTTCGGATAAGGGATTGTCAACCTGTGTATATATACGAAGATGATTTTGTTCACTTATCTTTAGGTTCCATCATAATCAAATAAAAATATTGAAAAACAATGGTACCTTCAATTGATTAATAAATTCCATCCTACGACTGTTTAGCCATCCTGTGGGGTCCATCCTACGGCTGTTTAGCCATCCTGTAGGGTCCATCCTACGACTGTTTAGCCATCCTGTGGGGTCCATCCTACGACTGTTTAGCCATCCTGTGGGGTCCATCCTACGACTGTTTTGCCATCCTGTGGGGTCCATCCTACGGCTGTTAAGCCATCCTGTGGGGTCCATCCTACGACTGTTTAGCCATCCTGTAGGGTCCACGTTACGACTGTCTGGCCAACCTGTGGGGGTTCATCTTACGACGGTCTGGCCAGTCTGTGGGGTCCATCTTACGACTGTCTGGCCAGCCTGTGTGGGTCCATCTTACGATTGCCTGGCCAACCTGTGGGGTCCATCCTCTGATTGTCTAGCTAGCCTGTGGGGTCCATCTTACGGTTGTCTGTCTATCCTTAGATTGTCTGTCCACTATAAGATTGTCTGGTCAGCCTGTGCAGTCGTTTCTAAGACAGTCTGGCCAGCTTATATGGTTCATCCTACGATAGTCTGCCCATCGTGCACTAGAGGGAGCAGGGTATGCAATATAGGGAACAGGGAATAGCTACAACCCTGGATCTTACTACTACTTAAGGAACACGTACCATGACCCAAGGTGTATTATGTCGCTATAGCTGCTGTACCCTTTAAACACTCTAAAATCTCGAGGAATCGTAACATGAGACACCTGAACTGCAACATGCCCAGTTGCACTGAAAGTATTACTACTACTACTACTACTACTACTACTACTACTACAACTACTACTACTACTACTACTGCTGTTACTACTATTAATAATAATAATAATGTGAATTGATATGTACAAACACATACACATCCTATACATCAATCTCTTTAATTTCAGACAGTGCAACACAAGGTAATAAACTCTAGGACGTTTACAATGAAACACTATTCCAGTACTAAGACTACTCTCACCACTCACCCGCCAACCCAACACGTGGTATTTGTAATGACAAGCAACTATTAATACATCCATCCAATGTACCAACTTTCTCTTATATGACAAAGCAGCCTAAAACAGGAGCAGCCTTATGTTTACCATCCAACATGTTATTGCAAGACATTTTCCTTACAACCCGTAGGCTATTTGCAGGCAGAGAACTACTCAATCGTTTAGGTTATTATCGACCACATACAGGAACCTTCACAACACTGTGTAATATGGTATCCTTCGCCTCGTCACAGTGGTTTTCAACCCGAGGTCGCAGTGTTCACTTATGATTTTGCGAATGATTCGGTAGCGAGATTTTCATGTACTGAATTTAGACTGAAAAATTATTACATGATTGACAGTTTGTTCTGCTTTAATTGACTGAAAAATGATATTTGATATAAATATGCATCATCATCCTTGTGTTTGTGCTCCAAGAAATATGTTTCGCAATATAATTTTCTTGTTGTGTTCCACTAGATTCTTGACTGTAGGCTGGTGGGTCCGCGATGACGTAAGGTTGAGAACCACTAGACTAGCTGAAGACCACCTATTCTCCCGGTCTCCACCTACCCGCCTTGTTTCCCAGACGATGAGAGTGATGGAGATGATGGAGAGAGCCGTGATGCAGCCGGAGAAGAGGTAGTAAGCCTGCAGAATCCACAGTATCACGGTGTACGCTTGGAAGATGTAGAACGGATTGTATGCCTGTGGAAACCGTTATACTGGTAACGTGAGACCGCGAGGGAGCGACTAATCCCAACCCAACCCAACCCTAATCTAAACTAAACGATTCATATCAACCTAACCCAATCTTAACTAACCCTTACCTGCCTAATCTAACCTAATCCGGAATAAACTAATCCAACCCAACCAGGCTAAAACATCCTGGTCGAAATGGCCCTCCTCCCACCTCTATCTAAGAGGGAATGTCACTGGCCTGCTGGATAAGGAGTTGCCTCACTGACAGGACTTCAATCTTCATAAAGTTCTCGCCGAAGAGTGACCTTCGTCGTCTGGCTGTGTCCCCGTCCAGACCCGCGCTGACCTGGTGGAAGGTTTTGAACGTCGCCCTGTGATCCAGAGGTCTGTACAAAAACCAAGAATCACGTTATAGAACACCATCATGACACAACTCATCATAACACAACCAGCTTACCCAGATGTCTTTTTCTGATACAACCATGACACACTTACATCTTATAATGCCTCATATTTGACACAACCACCTGACTCACAAGTCTTGTTCTGATACAACTATGACCCACAAGTGCCATACACTGTTTTAAACTGACACAATCATCGTATATACAAATACAAATCTTCGTCTTATTCCGAGGAACCCGACAGTATAAGGTTAAATATAAAGGAAAGGAACTCACTTCAGCATAATGAATGTGCAGGTAGCGTCGTCCCAAACATACTTGATTTTCTTGTTGACGAAATAGACACATGTCTCTTGCCCCTCGCTCGCCTCCCTGACCACCTCCTCCTCCCACAGTTGATGGTAGATGTCCTGCGAGGGAGATCAACCAAGGGCATCAATCTCTCTGTCTCGACCTTTTTTCTTGTGTGAATTAGGGCTCAAATGGAAAGGTCAGAGAGAGAGAGAGAGAGAGAGAGAGAGAGAGAGAGAGAGAGAGAGAGAGAGAGAGAGAGAGAGAGAGAGAGAGAGAGAGAGTAAATGGACGAAATATTTAGAGAGAAAAGAGTAAAAGAGGATTAAACGAAAGTATATAAATAAAGCTTTAGAAACAAAATTATCAAAGTAACACTAGTTAGTGCCTCTAACACTACTTGAGGTGACACTGACCTTGAGGAGGAGCTTCTGAGCGTGAAGGAGGGAGCAGCAACGGTGGGTGAGAGCCAGTTTAATGGAGGGCCGCCAGGTGATGAGGATGAGCAGCAGGCCTCCTGTTAACACCGTCGCCACCACCGTCAAGGCCAACTTCACCGGGTCTTTCGTGTACCCAGTCGCTTCCTGAAAGAACACACGCAACCAGGTCACTACACATCCAACATTGTGGTTTTACAGAGTCAAGATAGATCAAGGATTTAAGTTTGCTGGATCAAGACAAGGTGATGGTTATTTAAAACAGCAGAGAAGTTAGGGGGTGTAAATTGAGGAGTTGTGGAATGCGTGAAACAAGATTACCTGAGATGCTGTGGATATTTGGTGACGATGCAAGAGGAATGTAGACAAGAGGGCGAAGAGGGGCAATGTAGCTTGTGTGTTAAGTAGAGGGAGACCGCCTAGGTTATGTGTATAAAAGGCGGAGCACTACATTAAGGAGCGAATAGGGGAGAAGATAAGAGGAACAGAGGCCAGAGTAGGTATGTAGTACTAGGGCAGCCCGGAGGCTCTTCCGTCGTGGCCACCTTCCCAGAGCGGATCTCACCGATAAGAGATTGTACTCCGTATATTGTACATTAGAAGAATAAGCGGTGCAGATTGTGGTTTTGATGGGTCACTACAGGAAGGGCTATTTAGCTCTTGCTGTCGCATAGTTGGTAAGAATTTTTATTTTCTTTCCTTACTCAACTTTTACTTCGTTCAGCGAGTGTTTACGTATAGCAGCCTAACTAGGTGGTAGCTGAAGAGACTTTGTGGCTATAGGAAGCCTCTATGTCAATAGTTGGGGGCCTCATCTCCACATAACGGGGGTAGTCCAGTTCTTTTTATTAAACTAAAGTTTGCCCCTCAAGCTCGAGACTGTCCTGATTTTAGGTAAAATTGAGCAAGCTGTGTGATGTGATAATTGTTTGTATTAAGGAAAGAGTAATTGCTGTTCAGTACATAGGGGTGAACAGTTGTGATACATCACTTCATTAGATGTTATTAAATAATTGATCTTTATTTCCTGTTAACACGGAAGAACATTTTAGGGTGCCTGGTGACTTGATTGTCCCAGGTTTAGTTGCTTAAGTGAGTGCAGTGGGTTAGAGTAGCTGTAAAGCGTCTCGTTTTCCCTGAAATCTGGACGAGCCCTTCCACGACAAATGCCTGACTCCGCATGTCCGAGTGGTTACAACTGTTCTGTTTCCCAGGGAAGCTCCGGTACACCATAAGGGAAGAATAACGTTCATTTACCTTCCGCTCATATTGTCATTGAAATGTACCCTTTTTCACCTACAATACGCAAGCTACGTGTGGATTTTTTTTGTTTTACATACAAGCAGTTTCCCTTTCAAGAATTCTGTTTTTGTAAATAATTATGTACCGATGTTCGTTTCTGATGAGTTAATAGCCAGACTGCTCGGAGTCGCTTACCACCGAGATTCGTTTGTTTCCTTTATGTGAAGAGAAATCTGCACGGAAGCTGTATGGTGTATGTTCATATCACGTCAGGGTTTGTTCTATATCTTTAATTTTCCTTTATCTTCAACCTGGTTCAGGTAGTTACGTGGTTCATTGTTTGATTTGTTTCAGATTCCGGCGGATTTAGTTGACAGGAATCCATGGCATACGAATTCCGGTAATTTAGGCGGTGCCCCACCTTCTAATCGTGTTACCTTGGACAACTGGCGATTATATAGTAGTTAGTTATTCCCGCTGTATGTTTTGTTTTGTTTTGTCGTGGGAGTAATTTCCTTTAAGGGACTGCGGTCATTTATCCTCACTGTGTTATGAGATTATGAAAACCCGAAGGAATCACACATGATTGTCTCCTTTACGACGCTGTGAATAAGGTACTGTAAACATGGAATCTTTTTTTGCTCAGTCCACAGTCATCGTCTTACCTTAGTACAACAGATACGGTAATGGAAATTATATTTTAAGGTGATTGTAAAGACGCTTGACTGTCATATCGTTGTAGATGACTTGTGCCAGAGAGGGAGAGAGGGTGGGACTGTGCATGAGAGAGGGGGGGGGGGTGCCTAAAAGAGCGTGAGAGAGATGTCCACTATAACACGTTCACTATAACATGCTCACTGCAACATGTTCATTGCAACAACATGTTCACTGTAACTACACATTCACTATGACTGCACATTTACTATAACATGTTCTCTCTAACTACACATTTATTATAACATGTTCATTGTAACTGCACGTTTACTATTACATGTTCACTGTAACTGCACATTTCTTAAAACTACAAGTTTACTATAATTATATGTTTACTATAACTACACCTTTACTATAAAACACGTTTAATGTAGCAACACCTCCACTATAACTGTGAGTTTACTATAACTATGCATTTACTATAATGTGATAGCTGTTTTGGCATCACACTAATTGTTTTAATTAAGTTCTGGAGCTCTTAAGTGGCAAGGCTTGGTGTAAACACTTCTGGGTATTTTCTGTTTTATTGTTGAAAGCAGGTATATACACACAGATACAATCTGAGAAAAATATAATGTGAATTTCTCCAGGGAAGTGTTGTGATTATCACCTTGAGATAACATTTATGTTAAGTGTGAACTTCCCTGTCTAATGGTAGGAAGTGAACTAACACTCTCTGGGCGTGAGAGAGAGCAAAGCAGGGCAAGCGGTGTTTACTGAATCAGTTGACCCTGGCTCCACCCCTCTGATAGATGCAACCTCAGTGATCTAGTCATGAAAAACATGGTTAATCACTTGGTGAATAAGTTGGTGTTATTCATTGGGGTGAATTTGTATAAAGCAAAGGGGCTGTTACATCGCTCGGCTACCACCAACCGAGTCCTTGGGGTTTAAATCCTAGGTATACCTAACCATATTACAATACAGTGTGCGTTAGCTAAACTGTTGCATTATTGCACACGCTTTTTCAGTGCCTTTTGGAAAATTTTCTTGGAAACTATTGTGTACCTAAAGGACATTTTCCTGTAACAAAATATCATAACAGTTAAGGAAATGACTAATATAATGGCAAGTATGATGAAACCAGGTAGGATTACTCCAGAAGATAAATGAAAAGGAAGAGAGGCCTGTAATGCAGGAAACTGTGTTTCATTAATGTAAGACAGAAGTTTAAGCTTATGGAAATTTATGTTCAGTAAAAATGGTATGGGCACCAGTTCAGAAGTAATGTTTGATACAAATGCAAGATGATGGTGAGTAGGCAAGGTTGCGATTGCATTGCTGCCGAGCTCACAATAGTCTGGTGCTGTGTGATAACCTTCTACAACTAAATGTTTACCTACACCGTGGCATATGAGTTTGCTTTGGGAAATCAAAATATTGCACATTATTGACATGCGCGTGAAACACTAACGTGTGAGGTACTGGAGTATATTCATATTGCTGCAGAGCTATAGAAGCATTAGTTTGAACTATAGCTAGTTCACAAGTAGCTTCTGCAGCCCAGGTGAAAGCAAAAGCATAAGCAGAGCGTTGATGTAAGTGTAAGTATGTTGACTTACAAAGATTTAGGACTTCATGCTTAGTCACAGCAACTAACGAAAAATCTCCTGAAACCAAAATTAGTTCAGCTAGTCTGTTAAGAACCAAAAAATTCGTCATTCGCCTTCGATGGAAATGGTTCCAAATGCCATGCATTAAACTCTTCTGTGATTTTAGTGGAATGTGTATTAGTAGTTTCTCATGCATTGAGGATGCCTCCAATAAGGGGGAATAGTATTCCACGTCGTGCTCCTGAAAGATAGGAGTTAGATGATACCCAGCTTACCCAGCGGCAATAAGTTGACCAACCGGCAACCGTATCGTCAACAATCGCATTCAACTGAGAGTTTAGAGTCTGCACTGCCTTATAGGACTGTGCAATGGCCCTATTCTGTTTCATGACCACTTCTGAAACTGTTTTCATTCGTTTCCCTCGTTTAACTACGTCTTTTGCTGTTGCCGTACCAAACAGGGTGTTACTTATTAACCCAACGAAATTAAAGAGACCACGTTTTTGACGCCGATGAGAATGTACATTCTTCCCGATGTCGTCAGGAGATGTAGGTAGCTTTCCCTCGAAGTGCATTACGAGCTTGAGTAGACTCTTCATACTGGCGTTTTGAAATGAGATGGTTTGTCGATGGATTATATAGATGGTAGACTGTTGTTCGAGTTCTTGCAAGGTGTGCATAGCTGTTTCATTGTGGAGAGCAATTGACCTCAGGTGCACAGGCATGCGCACTAAACCATGGAGCTGGTACTTGACAGTTAAGACGTCTTCCACTACAAGTACTTTGCCCAGTGGGGCAACTAAAGCTCCTGGTTTGATAAGGCCTGCTGAGGATGCGGCTGCCGCTAAAAAGCTCCATGCCAACAAGAGTAGCGATATCCAAGCCATGCCTGAAAGGGACGAGGATAATAAATGTTTCTTGCTTGATGATCGCAGTTTTTGACGATGCATATTGTATATTGTTGTGTCGTGTTGAGCAACTGTCGTAGTAGATGTAGGAAGTAATTGACTGACATTAGGGATCCCGACTATGTCTCTGCTGACTTTTTTCATTCTATCAACATGTACTATGTCTGTGACGATTGTCGTTGGCTCAACTACTTGGAATTTGTTTCCATGTTCTTTCGCTTTAATCAGGTATGGACCTGTGAATTTAGACGAAAGTTTTGATATGCGGACCGGCGCTTTTATCATTACTGCGTCACCTGTTTCTAGAGTTACAGGTTTAGCGTTTTTATGTTGCTTACAGATCATTTCAGCACGTGAGGCTGCCAAATATTTTCGTACTTTCCCAGGGATGCTTGTGAAAACATTGATTTGCTTCTTCACATAGTCATCTACAGTATTTTGTACACAGGTTGTGGGGTTCCTGCTAGTTGATCATAGTGCAAGCGTTTATTGGCACCATAAATTATATAGTATGGCGATTTGCCTTTAAAGCTCTTGATAGATCCATTGATGGATGCTGCTACTTGTGGAAGCCAGACCCTTTCAGGAACTGTGCATCGGATTCACCACGTGTCGGAGAATCTCAAGACTTTTACGATTTGTAAGCTCGACCAACCCATATGAGGATGGATGGTAGGCAGTTGTGAAGGTTTGTGTGATCTCGTATTTTTTACATATTGCTGTGTAAGAG